GTCCTTGAGTGTTACGAACTTCTGCAATCACTTGCAGCTCGGAATAAGGTAAGCCTTTACTGGGTTCCGGGCCACAGAGGAATTTTGGGAAATGAAAAAGCCGATGAGCTAGCCAGAACTGCATCAAAAACTGCTTTCATGGGCCCTCAACCCTTTTGTGGAATAAACTGGGCCAGTACAAAACAGATTATCAAGGAAATGGAAAATCATATGCGGCTGGAGTACTGGGTAAACTTTCCAGGACTCAGATAAAGCAAAGCACTGATAACACCGTACTCCTACAAAGACATTCTTAAATTCTCAAAATGTAATTTAAGGTTGATAACGGGTTTCATTACAGGTCATTATGGTCTGAAATATCACCTTCATAAACTACAATTATCTGCTAAGTCGGAATGCAGATTATGCGTCGAAGATGAGGAAACGACCATGCACATTCCTTGTGACTGTCCAGCTTTAATAACGCACAAAAGAAACCTGTTTCATAAAGAATTTCTGTCACCAGAAAGATTAAGAACTCTTCTCTAGATTTAGTTCTACACTTTATTCACAAAGCTTTAAGGGACTTTGTGTAATCAATAGTGAAACTGGTACAATAGGTCTCTTCCAGACGGGGTGTTTCTGGAAACCATTCGGAACACCTATACAATATGGACATATAGTTGACATCATGAAAACTGTTACTTTGTTTTTACTGTGCCGAACTTTTTAATAAAAGATGGGAAGACTCAACGATATGTAGGTATCTGTGTGCAATTTTGCCACTTTCTAATAAAAGAAAATCAAACTCTCTCATTAATATGCTCCATAGAGATATCAGTCTTGTAATAGATTTATTTGCATGTCATTGTATTTTAAGTAACCATGCTAGAAGACTAAATCTCCATTTCAATCATACTTGTCACAATTGTGGAGAGGATAATAAAAGTGCCATTCTGCTTTGTTTCTGTCCACCATATACGCGGCACCAGCTTATCACTTTAGGACTTTCTTTTCTGAGGATCTTGGCGCACTGCAAGACCGCCCTCTGAATAGCATTGTAAAGTTTGTTCTAAGTAGTTCTAACTTGATTTGTATTTTGATTCTTATCAGCTTACAGACTTGATATGCATTTATAATCACGTCTTACAAGTCTAAATAACTAGTAAAGGTATATGACTTATCTATAAAATGGTCAAAGACGTCACAAATAGTTTTTGAGATGGCAACATTTACTCTAAAATAAGTATTTTATTATGTGCTTGTATTTAAATTCTGGATAAGCAGTGAATATCAAACTCAATTAAATATCAGTTACTTTTAAATAAATTTATGCAAATGAAAATATCTACACTCAATCGAATTCATGAATTAATGCCTAATAAACAAAACTCATGTTTTAATTATTGTATCTTTTTTAATAAGAGCAGAGCAGACGTAACGCGCTCCAAGTGTTTTCTTAAATGAAAACGTGAAGAACAAGAAACAATTCAAACGGTCGATCACTTATCTGTATTTCATTTAAATCACTTTTTCACCTGACAGAGTCACGGCGCAGTCATAATTTACTAAATAAATACTTGAATCGGTTTAAGAACACAACGTAATGGAGTAAGCCGGGCAAGCGTCAATGTGTAGGCCTAGAAGAGGACCAAATGAAGTGCCACTCCAACAATCAAGCATTCAATTTCATTTTCGTAATGTTTATTTACTTTCGATTCAATTATCGTACCACATAATCCTCGGACCTCATACCGAAGATTAAATCAAGCCTTTCAATTTGGGTGGCAGATAAACGTATTTGTTGTTTTCTTTCTTCATGAATGGAAGATTATACGGTACGATGGATTATATACGTACGAGTGCAGGGCCAACAGTGTTCGCGCAGCTCATTGTCTCTTGGCTATGGTTACTACGGTTTCGATTTGGATTGCTCTCAAGCAAGTGAGTATTTTACTTGCTCACATTAATTTATGCAGATTGTGCGATAGAAGTATTGTTTCTCTTAATAATCTAACCATAACAAAAGGTAAGGGCAATGGGTCCATAACGTACAATTTGTGTAGCACGCGCCATTAGACTATTTACAGAAAAAACCAAAAAATAAATAAATATGTCACTGAAAAAATAAAAGGAAAAATATGCAATAATTATAACTGAAATGTCAATAAAAAATAAAATATTTATTATTCTATTTATGTCAGATATGAGGTGCCTAATTTATAGTGATTTTTTCCCCACCATAAATCAGGGATCATCATCTGCAAATATAAATGAATTGATTACATTTTACTTAAGTTTGTGGAAACTATTTCTATTGTTAAAATTCTAGATTATACTCGTACTTGTAATTCACAAGACAGCAGGACATTAGAATTCACATGCGAAAGAGAAATATTAAAACCAGGGCATCGAACCGGAACTGAACCGAAAACCGAAAAAAAACTATACTTTTCCCAAAACGAAAACCGAAACCGAACCGATATATTTTTTTTTTGTTTTGAACTCGAACGGAAAAAATTCCGGTTCGATGCCCTGATTAAAACAGAACTACGACTTTTTGGGAACAAAGTTTGACGATTGATTTGGAAATTATTTCTAACTCCATATATATGGAGGATGTGCCCTTTGAAAGATGAGTCCATAATCAGAGGAAAATTAGTTTAAAATGTAGTTGATATAATTTTATAACTAAAAACATTTCTGAATTATGCTGGTTCCGAGGTAATTATTTTGCAGGAACTCTTATTTTTTCAAAACTTTTGTTAAATTTCTTTTCATTTTTGTTTTCAACACCCCATTTTATTGTTAATATTTTTTGGATTATTCTAAGGATTTTTTTAATCGTGTGCAGTTTTCCAATAATCGTTTTTTAAGCAACTTACTTACTGCATTACGACAAAAATGTCGCTTTCGATAGTCTGAATAGAAAATTTATCTAAAAAACTCCACTTAATAGAGGTAATGCATAACGAGTTACTTTCGTATACTTTCAACGTATTTTGGAAGCAGGCGTATATCGTGGCTGTCTTTTTCTCTGCTATTGATGATTTAGGCATAAGATGGTTGTTAAAGACTCTCGGTACATGGACACCAGGATATTCAGTGGACACTCTTCCTACAAGTAGAAGATTATAATTATTGATTCACAACAATAATATTTTAGAGCATAACGTAGACAATCTACGTAAAATATCCAATAATGGTGCATTAAAAATAATATCAAATAGACTGTTGTCATCACATCCAAATGTCGAATACAAATTCAAGAAATAAAGGTAATGCAGTTATTTTCAGTATCAAGATAAATGTTATTAGATGGTATCCAGTTCTGTAGAATGCTGGTGTTTTCAGTGCTACAATCTGTCTCATAAAGACGCATGACTCTCGGCAAAAAAATTAACATTTTTGCTTTTTGTTTTGCCTCTTTTTGGTGCTATTAGCTAGTACTTTAATCTTTGCTTATTTTACTGTATGCAATAAGTATTTACCGAATCTTTACTAAATATTCCATTTCTTTTAAATAAATCCCTTTTTAATATTATACACTTATACCACCAGAGTTTCTAGGTGGAAAAATAGTGTTGGAATGACTTTTTAAATATGATCTAAATATGGTCTAAATATGAGCTTGAATTGCGATTCTGCCTTTATATCTTCTATTGTTAAAAAGAATTCTCTTTTTTGTGTCTAATTGAGTTTAGAAAATAAAATAAAGTGATAGAGTAGAAAATAGTGTGATTGCGACGTTACAGTAACATTACAGTTTGTCTCAACACGATCTACATTTGTAGAAATCCTAATGTTGTGACGTATAACATCCGTATATCTTTCTAATGGTAGATCTTTTTAAGAAAATACAATTCGTTTTAGTTTTTTCACGTATTCATCTTTGATGGATGTGGTATGACACCAAGACTTCGCTTCATCTTTAATGTTTTCTCTGCCTCATTAAAAGCATGCCTTATATTAACTGCTCATTGTGACCTGATATTATTAGCAAAGATCTTCTTTAATAATTTTTAATATTTTGGTTTTTTGACATAAACATAAGTAAATGTTATATCAACTGATACAGACGATATTGGCAAGTCGCACTGCAAAGCAAAATAAATCGAAATGAATTTATTTTATTTTCAAGCAGTGCGATATAAAACTCATTTGTTTGTTTGGTGGTTATTTTTGCAAACCCATAGACGAAATGTTCAACATGATTGGCACAAGTAAAGTGTTAATAACAACAACAACAACTATACATTAAAAGTGAGTGATTTTATGTTTCACCAAATGTGTTCAATTAATATTTATAGATAATAGTTATATTAAGTATTTAATGCTAAAATAACTCTGTAGGCAATTCTAAGTTTTTATTTTTTTATTAACATATCACATATCATATATATATATATTTTTAACTACGCACTATTATAATACGGCGTTTACATTGACCGAAAATGGCTCATTTTGGTCAAAAATCGAAAATGAGTATCGAATGGCTCATTCTTGCATATAAAATTTCAAGCACAAAAATGAGCAATTTTCTCACATTCTGTATGAATGACGTTCGAATGCATTCCACATACGTTCCAAATGCAAAGGAATCCATTGAACATACCCTAAATGAAAGCTCTTCATGGCATTTTGACAGTTTGAAAAAGCTGTTTTTAACATATTTACAAAAAAAGGTAAACAAATGTTTGGTGGTTGCATTTTCTTGAAAACGATGCACTGCTTTTTAGAACTTTTATTTCCCAAAAAGTAATTAATCGAAGTTAAAAATATGTTTTAAGTTTCTAATGTAAGGTTTGAAGGCATATTTAACCTTCATGCAACATTTTTTTGGCACAGGCCAAAAATCAAATCAACATGCAAGTTGAAAAATCAGCTGTTGAAATGAGAACAAATGAAATAGAACGAATGTAAACACTTTCAAATGGCTCATTCAAAATGAGCCATTTTCGGCCAATGTAAACGCCATATAAGTTACACAAAATTTTAAATTATTAATATAAGCAGTTCTCTTCTTAGTCTTACTCTGCATACGGTGTTCACACTAGCACTCGAAACGGACTCAATTATCATTGCCACAATTTCGAATGAAATACGCTTCAAATTTTAAGAGTAAATTTTGTATACCAATTAAACGTCAAATGTGAATATCTGTGTAATTCAATTAAACTAATGCTAAGCTAAATAAAATATTCCTACAACGTTTGGCATTTACATGTATGTACGTAACAGTTAAATTTTTTAAATTTAAATAAACTGTAAGAAAAAGTCAGCCGGACAAGCAAAGCTAAAATCAAAATTTCGATGACTGATAAAGCATTTTTCACTGACAACAGGAAGAGTTCATAAGCAAAGAATATTATTTTAATTCACAATAGTTTTCTGTTGCAAGATCTAAACAACTTTTAAAATCAACAATTGTGAATTGAAATCAATGAAAAAGAAGCATTGCATAACGTGCTTGCTTAGTTCGTGTTTATGAAATTTGCTTTATAGAGTTAAATTCTTGAACGTTATTAATATATTAAATATATTTAACTACAATGCCGGGAAAGAGGTGCAAAATATGTTGTTCAATAAAAGAGAATTGTATGTCAGTTAATGACAAAATTATTGATATAGACCTATTAAGCGCCATTCAATTCATTATAGTGAGGAAGGTACGTGAATATTACAAAAAAATTAGATATTTTATATTAAATGCATTTACACATACATATCTTAATTACAGTTTGCACCATCCAAACTTTCTAAGTGGTCAATTTGCCAAGAGTGTGCAGTGGCAATTATTCATGCTGATGTTCTTATTAAGAAACTACATCGCGCGGTTGAAGAAGCGACGAGGAACAGAAAGAGAAGAGTTAGCGTCAAAAGTGCCATATCGGATACATCAGTGAAATCAAAATATTCAAAATCCGAAGGAAATAAATCTATTGGAATTGATTCCAAAGAAACAGAAAGTGCAGAGAAACAGATTGAGGACATGAATGCATCAAAAATAAAATTACAAGCAATGAACGGGTTTAATAGTCCAAATAAAATTCGAAATCAGTTCGCACAGGAACGAACTGCTAATTTGTGTGAACTTGAAAACTCTTTGAATGATACTGTTGATTTTACTATATTGAAATCTAAAAAACATAACTCAACTGAGATTAGCACTACAAATACTGTCAAAAAATCTAAAAAACATAACTCAACTGAGATTAGTGCTACGGATGCTGTCAAAAAGTCTAAAAGTAAGAAGGCTGCAAAAATTGAAAATTCAAACACTTCAGTAGTGCAACCAAATGTTGGTGATAACGATTTAATGCCTGTAAAAATAAAAAAAAAAAAGGTTAAGGAATTAACGGACTTTTCTAATGTATTACTAAGTGAGGTGACGGAGGATAGCCCACAATTCAAGCAGAAAAAAAATAAATCAAAATCTCTCGATAAACAAACGGAGAAGCAATTTGTGTGTGAGGTATGCTGCAAATCTTTTAGAAAAATGTCGAAGTTGCAAGATCATATAAAAACAGCCCATATCGAAAATCCATCTAAAGACTGTCCGAATTGTGGGTTGTCGTTCAAATCTCAATCAAAATTTGATAAACACGTTTTTTCTCAAATATGCCAACATTCAATTTATTCCTGCCAGCAATCGAATTGCAACAGGATGTTTTCTAAAATTAAAGACATGAAGAAACATATGGAAAACACTCACGCCTATGAATTAAGTCATACGGAGGAGGTTAATTGACTAATGAGTATAGTGTATTTGCGTACAATTTTAATTAGATCTTATAGATTTTTATAAATATATAATTGTTTAATTAAAATATTTTAAATATGAAAAAACCACCGGTAATATCCAAATATGAACAATTTTATTTTTTAAATTTATTGCCAACACCCCAAATCAATTTTATGTATTTAAAAATTAACAATGATATCCTGATGAGTAACAAATTAGCTAATAAATAACCAAAGGCAATGTTTTCACAATCAAAGAATGCAACTAACTAAATCTTTATATGATATAAATGTCATGTATATCAACTAAAAAATATTCAACATAAAAAATAGTTGATTTAATTTTGTACTCATTAGGCTTTGCTGTGTATTTCCGCTTGAGCGCACTTCATTACATCTAAAGCACCTTTACTAATTAACTGTTCTGCTAAGTGCCTTCCAAGTTCATTACTTTTAATAAATAATTCACGACTATAGCATTCGTGCTGGTAAAGTCCACAAAAAAGTTTTTCAACATTTTCAATGAGAAGAGGTATTTTTGTAGGAACTGGTTTTTCTTCATCTGCATAATCAAACATTTGCACAGTCTTCTGAAGAAACGGACACTTGCCATGGGTAGCATTGCTGTTCAGTTTATCTCCATTTTGATGTAATGAAGAAAATGGACATTTTGAACTTGAAGGCGCACAACGGTCAGTTTCGTCATTTCCCGCATTAGTAGAGGAAGAAGTTTGTGTAACGGGACATTTGCCTACGTTGGCTAAGGACACTTTAGTTTCATTATTTACAAATGGACATTGGCCCATGAAATCTTGTCCTATCTCAATATGTAAAGGGCAGTGCGCTTCACTATGTACAATATCAGCATCACCTCCACCTCGTTCTGGCGAAACATTTCCATTTTTGATATGATTACTTGGCACATCTGTACCAACCACCGGGCATTTTTTAGCCAAATCAATATGTTTTTCAATCAATTCATTTACATCATACGACTTCGATAAATCTTCTACGTCAGCGTCATCGTTTATTACAGGTGGACTGTTTCGATTTCTATCAGGGCTGATAGATTCACTACTTCGAACTCGCTTAGTTGGTGGTTCTTCATTACTATCTTCGGCATTATTATTGCTCATTATCTCCGCATTTTTACTTTTAATAAACGCAAGGGAGCACTTCAATTTATCGCGTATTTCTGTATTACCATCTAGACTCCACACCGCACCCATCAGAGATAAACCTGCTTCTTTATTAGCATTCGCATCTGTTACATCTCCACATAAACTACTACACACTGCTACAGGAGCACTACAACCCCCACCAAGAGTTTTTAAAAAGCTGCGCTCCGCAAGTATACGACACGTGGTAGATAAACACATTAGTTTCTGTAGCATGCCTAAAATTTCTTCATCGTTAGCACGACATTCAACAGCTAAAGCACCTTGTCCAACTGCATACAATAAATCAGTTGGTTCCAAAATTTGATTGACGCGGTTCATCCAACCCATTCTCACTAGACCAGCTTGAGCTAATATAATGCCACTAAATTTTGAGTCTGTGGCATCTAACTTTGCCAAACGAGTATTTAAATTTCCTCTGATGTCACAAACCACTAAATGTGGATACTGACGTCTTATCTGAGCAGTACGACGTAATGACGAAGTTCCTAAAATTTTAAAATGGATATAAGGATTTAGTTTAAAAAAATATATATATTACCTATTATGCTACCTTCCGGTAGGGTACCAATAGTATAGCCATTATATTCGTTTCTAAGCACTAACGCATCCCTGGCGTCCTCGCGTTCCAGAACGGCACCAATAGCCATTCCTGTGGGTAAGGCAGTAGGCAAATCTTTTAGTGAATGCACCACAAAATCAACACCGCCATTTCGTAGTGCATCTTCTAAGTCTCTCGTGAAAAGACTTTTCTCTCCTATTTTTGGCAGCGAAATGTTAAGTACTCGATCACCCATTGTTGACATGGTGTCTGAAATAAAATATGTGATAGTTATATTAAATTATATGTTGCACAAGTACATAAAGGCGCACATCGAATAAATTCGATTAATATAAAAAAATTAAACTAAAAATAGAATTAACTCTTAGTTTTCAAAAAGTGGTGGTTTAATCAGTCTTTGAAATATCGATAGAGATAAATCACATAATCCATTTGAGTAAATAATAACAATCTAATACCAAATTTTGACCATACCTCTGGGTACAATTGTTGTTTTCAAGAAATTATAAGATATATAAAATGAATATATAATTTTAACTAATTACATATTAGGATAACAAATAAAATGGTGTAGAGCCAGAAAGTTAAAATAGACTTTTTGACACATTTGACCAAGTCAAATCAGAAAATGAAATAATCAAAAACGGATTATATTACTTGATTTGCTGGTTATTAACTACCCAGATGGAATATATAAAAAGTCAGTTTTGTATTAAAATCTAAAACAATTTAATGTGCTTAAATTATAGAAGTTTTATTATAGGAGTTTACATCTTCAGATGCAATTCTGTTGAATGGGATCGCGTACAATGATGGGAATATTAAGAAATTGATTTCTCATTTATAATATAACTAAAGATAATCCATTGCAAAAACATTGCTAAAAAATATTTTCTAATAATATCTCCCTTGGAATGTGGAATGTGTAAATCTCAAGAAATCTACCAATATAATCTGTTTGTGAACATTTCTTATGATTTTTTTGCACATCACACAGTAATGATGAAATGAAGCTAACCAAAAAAGGGATGCAAGTGATGACATTTAGAACAGCAACATCCCATGTGGATATCATAGCCACGTAGCCCGAAATTAAATACTTTTATTAACTTTCATTTACAATTACGATGTATTTATGATAAATACTTACATATATAATAATAGTCGGAAATTTACTTTAGAAGTGACTTTCAGATAATTTACATAATTTAAGAAATAATTTATTATTGATTATTATTTATCTTTTTAAACAATTATGATGTATTGATAATGAATACACACATATATAATTATAGTCGGAAATTTACCTTAGAAGGAATTTTCAGGTAATTTATGTAGTTTAAGAAATAATTTATTTTGATTATTTTAAATCACTATTTATCTTTTTAAACAATTATGTTGTATTGATAACGAATAGTTATAGTCTTACGTTTCATTTTAGGGTGGAAGAGGGATTCAGCCCATCAAACTCTCTCCCTGAAAACAAGCATAAGACACCCCTATTTCTAAAAACATTGTTATAAAAATTTCTTAAATTAAATTAGTTGGGATGACATTGTAAAAGTGACTTATTACATGGAGTTCGTTAATGAATTTCCCTGCTAGGATGAAAAGTTTCTGAAAAATAATTTTTTTTTTAAAATTTTCTTACTACACGCACTTGCATTGTTCATTCTTACTGTTATGGATTATATTATTTACGTTCAATTAGGTTTTTTATGTGCCTATACAACTTTTACATATAGGATTAGCGATGCTAAAAATCGAAAATGGAGTTTATTTGAAGTGAATATTAGTCTATCCATTTTTAGTTAAAAAGTAGATTTGTAGAGAATCAATTTTTGTAGGAATACGTACTGCTAACATAATTAATTTAAGTAAATAGTAATCATTTTTGGGACTAGAATTAAAATGCGTTTATAACACGAAATGATGTCGTGAGACACGCAAAATTGAACTACCATCCTTGTAGTTGGATGATACATAGTAAAATATTTTTATTATATTATATCTAAATAATTTTTATTATATTAAGTAAATATTAACTTAAAACTTTCGATTTCATTTGTTTCTTCTGTTTTGTGTTGAAGAAATGACGATGCATTTCAGTTTCAAAAAATATATATATTTATAGATAACGCTGCTATTTATTATATAAACAGCACTATTTGAACTGATAAGAAACGTGACTTTCAATTTCAGAATGATTCTTAATATTTACTATTTTCGAATTTATTTTTTGAATATGAAAATAAACGCAAAATCTTTGCAGCTATCGTTAATATAGTGGTATTTGTTTATTCTGGAAATACACAGCAAACAGAGTGACACTTAGAGATTTGGATATTATCTAAATATTGATAGGCTATTTATATTTATATTTATCAAAATCAGTTTGAAAAAAAAAATACTTTAGATATACACATATCTAGACTAAACCTTACACAAGTGGTAATATTTATTATATATACAAATATAATACACAAATATTTCTAACTTCTACAGTCTATTTCGCTCAAATGTACTTAATGTGAGGTACAGGATGTTGTGATGATAATGAAATAGATGATGATAATAATGATGGTGAGTAGTTCAAAAACTTACGAATTTCGAATTTCTTGTTAGGATACAGCTTCTGTAAGCGTGCGATGACATGTTTGGTTTGTACGAGTGCAAGCTGGAATGAAATATAAAATTATGAACTTCAATTAATACGACAGTTTTTGAAATTGAATTAATTATCTACTGTTATGAGGAAGACTTCAAACAAGAAATTATCTAATAAAAAACCTATTAACTACTAAACGTTCGACTTTGTACTTAATTCATTCAATTCATATATTTTTTTTCTAAATTACTATAATTACTCCATATTCATAAGTAGCAAGAAAAAATATTTTATTCGCTTATATTTTAAAAAAACGAATTGAAATTAATTTTGAATATGACGAAAACAATCGCAGTGAAAGCAACAAATCAAATGCCTTAAGCGACGTAAGGTAACTCAGCAAAACTTCTTAAATATTTTTATTATTCATCTAATTTGGAATATTAAGAAATTCAAATTTTACGAATTCGCAATTGACGTATATAGTATACGAATATAAAAGAGCCTTGAATACCTGGTTTTTTTGTGACTTTTTGTTGTATAATATTAACGAAATAATGTGCACTTCACTTCGCATTGAATTGTATAATTAATAAATGTTCGCTTACCTCGCTCTTTCTTGATCCAACGCGAATGGTTTTTTGCTTCTCGTCATTCATTGCTTTAGTTTACGTTATTTTTTATGTGCTATTAAATAATATATTACATATATCAGTAAATTTTTTTGGTCGCACCCTGTATAACTTGTGAAAGTATTTATTCACGTTTTCGAAACTTTGAATGAAAACCAAACGCTCTACATGAATGAAAACATATTTACAAATGTTAAATTGCGTTACAAAATTTTACAATCCCATGTTTTCAGAAACTCTGCTCTACAGGTCGAATCTACAAAATAACTGAACTCCACGTTCAACACTCGCGACTTAACTCATCAGATGGGCGATTTGATAAAGATTAAAACTCGCGTATGTAATAGCAACATGTGTTGCAAAACGACTCAGATATAATGAAATTCTTTTTATTAACACTGAAATCTCTAAGTACCCTACAGCCGAAACATTAGTTTCAGATGCGTAACGGTCGCATTAATTTGTTTTAATTATTATAAAATTTACTCTTTTAATATTATTAATTTTAAAGGACTTTGAATAATTTTTGAGGATTAATTTTGTTAAATTAATTTTCGATGCCTGCAACACTTGATAAATTCTCCAGATTGAAAATTTGTATACTTGAACTCTACTTGGTTGTGTATGTATACAAAAGCAAAAGAAAAATTTTAAGAAATAACTTAGGCCGTGTGCGAGTTCGAGTGAATTGAGGTAAAGTAAATTGAAATTTCCTAGGGATTTTTTGCAGTGCACTTGTGTAAATATTTATTTTTTTATTTATGGCACTTATTTATTATTTTTGATTGAAAGTTTTCAAATTTATTTATTTATTTATTTAATAGCTTATAAAATTTCCACAACTGTAACGCTTAATTTTCCTAATTTTTATTTAATTTACCCTACTCGAAATTCTGGTAACTATTATATATTTTTTAGCAAAAGTGAAACACGGTCCGATGTATTTTTAACATGTTCTTTACTTCGCTTTATTAACTATACTAAAAATGAATAATGAATAATAATTACAAAAGGAATATAGAATAATGACAGGCCAGAGTTGCCAGGCAATTAATATTTAAAAAGTACTTTACATAACAACACCCCCTCTTAAAGTGCTTTTATTATGTATAAAATATGACTTTAATATTTCATTCCTAATTTCCGTAAGCAATTAACATGCTTTTCTGTAGTGAGTCCTTTGGTAAGGACGTCTGCGGGCATTTCTTCTGTTGGCATATATTTGATTTTAACAGTGCCGTCGTTAACCTTGCTGCGAATAAAGTGATAACGAATATCAATGTGCTTTGTCCGTGGATGATACCTGAAGCTTTCCGTTAATTTTTGAGCGCTTTGATTATCATTAAAGATTTCAATTGTCTTACTTGTAATGCCAACATCATCAAGGATTGCCTTTAGATATAACGCTTCTTTTGTGGCCTCAGATATGGCCATATATTCTGATTCAGTGCTTGAAAGCGCTACTGTACGTTGCTTTCGAGCTTCCCAACATATCGCTGCTCCTGATATAATGAACGCATACCCTGAATATGAACGTCTATCGTTTAAGTCAGCGCCCCAATCAGCGTCAACCAGACCATACAATTCTTCATTGTTTTTCTCATACAATAGACCATAGTTGCTTGTACCTTTAAGGTATCTTAGAATTCGTTTTGCTGCTTTCCAATGTTCCACGTTATAATTTGAATTGAACTGGCTAAGAAAGTTTACAGCAAACGCAATATCAGGTCGAGTTGTAACAGCTAAGTACATTAATGCTCCTATCAAGCTTTGATAGGGATACATCTTCATAACACCTTCATCAATTTTTGTTGGTTTCGTTAACTTAATGTTCAATTCTATGGGAGTCTTCACTGGTTTACAGTCTTTCATATTGAACTTTTCAATGATGCTTTTTGCATACTTCTCTTGTGAAAGAAAAACTTGATGCTTGCTTAAATTTTGATGAAACTCGATGCCAAGACAATTACTTACTATTCCCAAATCCTTCATTTCGAAATCATTCGCAAGTGCAGCCTTTATTTCTTTTATACGAAACTTATTATTGGACGCTATTAGTAAATCATCTACATATATTGTCATCAAAACAATGTCGTTGCCTTCTCGCTTAGTGAATACACAAGGATCCTGTTGTACTGCACTTAGACCCATATTCTGTAGTTTCTTTGTCAATTTCATGTACCATGATAGCCCAGACTGACGGAGTCCATAAAGAGCTTTCTTTAATAAACATACAGGTGACTTACTTGATTTAATCGCCTTTAACCAATGCTGCGCTGTTTCTTTAACTTTTCCACACAATATTGTTGAAGTTTTTCCCACTGGTTTTGATGAAACAACTTTGTTCAGGAATGGTATAAGATAATCGGGAATTTCCATGAAGACACTCTCTTCGAGCTCTCCATTTAGGTATGCTGTAATGACATCCATCTGATGGATCTCCAAATCCATTTTTGCTGCCAGTGCCGCAAGTAGTCTTATAGATGTTGAACGAGCGACTGGAGAAAACGTATCATGAAAGTCTTCACCTGGTCGTTGTGCAAAACCCTTCGCTACTAATCGTACTTTCTGTTTTCCGTCATCTTTAGTTCGAAGCACGAATCTATTCCCAATAACTTTTCGTGATTTCGGTCTTTCGACCACTTCCCATGTTTTATTCTTTAGTTGTGCCACCATTTCGTCTTCTAGCGCTTTTGACCAGGAATTTGTTTCATCGCTTTCAAGTGCCTCCAAAATCGTTACTGGAGTTTGATATGTAGTGAGAAACGCCATTTCACAATCTTCAAAAACGTTGTTGTCAGGTTCATCATCTGAATGGTTTTTATCAGCAATTTTTCTTACTGAACTTGTATTTTCGTCTTCGTTGGATGATTCTTCACCATTCCGATTTGACGTGTAATATTCTTTTCGAGGCCTACCGCGTGAATTTGTGCGAATAAGTCTCGGACGACCTCTTCTACGAATGGAGTTTTCTTCTCGCGTATCTGTATTTTCTACAATTTTCGGATTGACCGACGGTTTCTGATTTTCAGAATTTTCGAACGCAATATCGATATAATCATTTGTTTGGCAGTCGTTTTCATTGTTAATATAAATGTTTTCGTATTTATTATGATAGATATTTTTGTTTACGAACACGACATCACGGCTTATTGTTATATTTCGTTTTGTAGGTGACCACAGCCGATAGGCTTTCGCTTCGTTTGAATATCCAACAAACATGTAAGGTTCTGACTTAGAATCGAATTTATCTCTAGTCTTATCCTTTTTTAGGACATATGCTTTAGAGCCAAATACTTGAAAATGTACAATAGTTGGCATTTTACCAGTCCACAACTTGTGCGGTACTACACCGTTCAATGCTTTTGTAGGACACCTATTTCGAATATAGCACGCTGTATTTATGGCCTCTGCCCAAAAATTTGGCGGAACTTCAGCTTGTTTCATCATGCAACGGGCCATTTCAACTAGAGTTCTGTTTTTACGTTCAGCAATACCATTTTGCTCCGGCGTATATGGAGCAGTTAAGCGTCTTTGTATACCAAATTTCCTCAAGAATAAATTAAATTCAGAATTAACGTATTCTCTACCATTGTCTGATTGTAAAGCCTTAATTCGTTTACCCGTAAATGTTTCTACTGCTCTTTTGTATTGCTTAAATACATTTAATACATCGGATTTTTGTTTTATAAAATATACATGACAATAGTGTGATTTGTCATCAATAAATGTTACGAAATATTTTGCATCCGAATTTGATGCTGTTCTCATTGGTCCGCACACATCACTATGCACGATCTCTAATAAATCACTTGTTCTAGTTTCTTTACTCTTAGGAAATGGTTTTTGTATTTGTTTTTCACTAATACAAATTTCGCAAGTCGGAAGTTTTTGTTTAGGATTTAATTTTAATCCGTGTACTAGGTTATTACTAGCCAATTTTTTAAGATCGTTTTCATTTATGTGGCCCATTTTCTGGTGCCACTTTTCAATGTCACATTTTTCTTCAGCAACTTGTGCAAAATGATTTTTATTTTCAACAATAAAAAGATTTCCACATCTTTTCGCTCGAGTTATAACCTTCTGATATTTGTCCAATACGATTGCATCTGAAGGGCGAAAATGCACTTCATATCCGCTGTCTACTATTTTTGATACAGAAAGTAGACTTGTACGCAAGTCCTCGACATATAGAACTTCTTTAAGATCAATGTTATTATCACGACCGTATACGTCTACAGTTATTTTCATTTTACCGACGCCGTTTATATTTGTTGTGTTGTCGTTTGCTAAGTTAAGCACTTTATTCGATTTTTGAAAGTCTGTAAAATATTCACGGTTTGCACTTAAATGGGCAGTACATCCACTATCTAGGCACCAATAATTTTCTTTTATTGAGCTAATAAATGCATCTTCAACATGATAGCTAAAATTATTGTTTACAGATTTTTCCGAATTTTTCAATTGCGTGTTATTTTCAGCTTTTGCTTTATTTTTACATTCACGTGCAAAATGTCCGATTTTGCCACAATTAAAACATTGTTTGTTTCGTTTAGAATCACTGTATCGTTTGTTTTGTTTTGCGTTTCGGCTTTTATTTCGATTTATGTATAGAGAGTTTTCATCACTATGTCTGTCTTCTTTTGTCCTTTGCGATTCAGCTTCTTCTAATATTTTTACTCGAAGTATGTCTGGCTTTGGCAGCTCGTCGCGTGTTTCTAACGCGCACCTGAAAGTATTAAAAGAATCGGGTAGGCTATATAGGAGCAGTATGGCCAGAAGCTCATCCCCGATGGTGACGTCGATTTCCTTTAATTTCACCACGGCTTCAAAAAAATCGTTGAGGTGCTCTCTAACCTTTTCACCCTCCTTCATGCGCGAAAGTGCAACCTTTTTCAGCAACGTCGCCTTGCGCGCAGGCCCTTTTGATGAATATGTGGCTTGTAGTTTCATCCACATTTCGTTTGAATTTGTGCATTCTGCAATTAATCTTAATTCTGATGCACTTACTGATAACATTATATCAGCACACGCTTTCTGATCAAAGCTGATCCATTTTGCAGCCGCTTCGCCCGTTGGACACGACGCAGTACCTTCGACATATGACCATAAATCGTTTTTTATGAGAATAGCTTTCATTTGTAATTTCCATGTATCGTAGTTTTCCGCGTTAAGCGGTTCAACTCGAATCACCGTTCCCGACATTTTTATACACGTATTAAATCTACTTTTTATGTGCACGTGCTTTTTACTTCGCAGTGGAAGCGTGCTGGGCCCATAACCTATTATATATTTTTAGCAAAAGTGAAACACGGTCCGATGTA